GCAGTTGTTCAGACTAGGAATTTTTTGCATCTCTCCATACAGCCATGAATATCTGTTTCCACAGGGTTGAAAGATGTTCTGGAAGATCAATTCAGACAGTCTGTCAAAGTCTTTTGAAAATCAAAGAAGAGAAGCCTATTATTTTATACACTGTTCTACAATTGTTAGCGTGAATATCTAGTCCATCCAAAGTGTTTTAGAGCCTAAGTTCAGCCTGTTCTCTGTTTTGTATCCACTGTCACTTTATCTCCTTCAGTATCACCCCACAGAAGCCTCAGCCCAGTTGCAGTATTCAGTAAGATCTCTGTATTTCGGCATTTGAAAACACTCCAACATTTCCACTACTGAGGAAAAATCTCATTTTCCCAAGGTTCATTAAGTAACTTCATCAGTGTCATTAAACTGGTGTTGTCAAGCGTAGTTAGCACTTCTGAAGGGATTTGATTGATTTGCATCTCCTGGGTGTTCTTCAGCCTCTTGCAGATTGTGCTAATGACAAGTTAAGAGTTCCCAACTTTGACTATGGTTTGGCATGAGAGTTGTCTAGAACAGTTAAAAATTTCTTTTAGATGATCCGCACATCTGTTTTCCCTTCTGTATTAGCTCTGAAGTTTTCCTCATTTTGACTTTGGCACATTTCCTCCATTTACTGTCCTGCTAAATTGCTTGCATTTTCCTGCTCCGGCAGCAGCATCTGCTTTCTCTGATACCTCTTCCAACTTGTGCTATCTTTCCTTACAATGCCTTTCACTAGTAGCTTTCTTTTGTGCCTTCTTCCAATTTTTTTATTCTTACTCTTGTTATCATTTGCATTCTTCTCTCAGCAAAGGGCCACATACTCAGTTTGATTTTCTCCACTTACAGCTCTTGCAGTTAAATGTCATTGCTGCTGAGTTATGCCTATTTTTCTTAGCCTGTTACTTTCACCTGTGTTTGGCAAAGTCGCAAATGAATTCCTCAGTATTGATCTGAGATTTCTCACAGCATCCTTCTGTAGTTCCGTTTTGTACTGTTTGCCAATGCTGATTACTGCTTGAAATTGCTTCTTTTTAGTTCCACTTACAGGTTGGCAATGCCAAGATTTTGCTCAGTACCATCCCAATAGCTTGGCATAATTGCCTTTTGGAAAAATTACTCTCTGGTATTTTGTTTTACCCTCTATCAAATGCTAACGTGCCAGTCTATAGCATCATATCTCAGGTCAAAGCCTCTTATTAAAGAAGGAGAATTATTAAACAAGAATAGCAAGCAGTCATCTTTCCTGCTCTGTTCTCCTGATTTCCAACAATAAACATGGAGTTTCACCAAAACCATTATGTTTACATAGTCAACAAAGAAAACATCCATGACATGATTCTTCCTAAACTCTCTTTGTGAGGATTTATACTTTGGCCTCCCAGTAAAAGGAACAATAAATATATGTTCACACTTCACCTTCTCTATGCCATTCATGGTTATATACTATATAGCATCATTTTAAAGAGCTTATTGCAGTGGATCTTTGAAAAAGTGCTCTTACGTGTATGCTCATACTGCATCTTCATGGAGCTATAAATACAGGACATCACATTCTCCCAAAAGTCCATTTCTCATACTTATCCATGTACCTACTAGTTATAGTCTTTATCATTGTTTCTACACATTTGTTAGTGCAAGTCAGACTTACCAAGCTTTAGTTTTTCTTAACATTACTTGAAGTCTTTTCAAATGTGGATGTAACATTCCCTATCTTCCACTTCCCCTACATTGCTATAAGCAGTGGCTTATGCCACAGTAAATAATACAGTAATTCTAACATTCCCTATCTTCCACTTCCCCTATATTGCTATAAGCAGTGGCTTATACCACAGTAAATAATACAGTAATTTTGTACAGGGTTCTTTTAGAAGTCTTGGGTGAAAACCATCTGGATTTGCTGATTTATTACCATTCATTTTGTCAAGATCTTTCACTCACGGAACCACTCTGGCTCTTATTTACCAGGTTTCTCTGTAAATTATTATTATTACATCCTATATTACTAAGAAAGACCATGTCATAAAGGTTAAGTTGTACCTTCACATTCTGTCAATAACACTTTAGAAGCAATTACTGAAAGCATCCTTCCCACTGCTGTGTTCTCCTTTTGGAGTGGAGCAGTAGATCCTTACCAACACTTTCAGTAACTCGCTTAGATCTGGCACGTGCTCTGCACTGCTGGTGAAACTGAAGTTGGGAAGTGACTCTTCCACAGCAGTTTCTGGGTACTGCTTGGTCTTAATATGGTAATCACTACAACCTGAATAGGAGATATATCCCTCCCTTTTTCTAAAATACTTCC